AATGTAGGACAACTTTGCCAGACACATATAAATATGAATTAATCTATTTATACAATGAATTTGACAATTTGTAAAGTGTAAAGATCATAATCATTGAATTCAAAAACAGTTCTTCAAATAAAGAACAGGATGCCCTCCAACTCGCACATTGTAAAATTTGTTGTCAAATTCATTGTACAAGTAGCATGATTGTATAAATATCAACTTTGCCATTGGAAGCATGGTGGAAGCTATTACCATCCTTTTATAAGTCAAAATTACATACCTACCCCACACCAACTTAAAGGAATTGATGCGAAAAAATGTAATGAAAGGGTAAAATTGGAAGTCAATAACTCTTTTGGACATTTACGGTGGATTCAGAAGTTAAAATAGCCCTGTTTTAGTAATCAATTCACACTTTATTCAAACAAGCAAGACCACTTATTTTGAAACTGAAAATGAAAATTGTGAATTAATGGGGCCAAACGAGGCTTAATGTTGTCGTGAATTTTTTCATTTTTATTTTTGTAAATTTTTTTTATTTTTTTTATTTTTACAATGTATGGTTAAAAAAGAAGAAAATGTTTTGGATTAAAGTGTAATATTATTTTATCAAAAAATGTGTGATTAAAACACAGAGAGAAATATGCATTTTTGACTAAAATGGAGCCCAAATAAGGGCTTGGTAAGATGTTTTCCACTAATTAAATTTTATTTAACTTAATTGATTTGATAATTAGACATCAATTAAATTATTTAGTACACTAGTTAAGTCAAATAAAGGGTACTTAGTTACCTCACTGGAAGCAACTTTACCAATAATGAACGATTTAAAAATTAGAATTAGAGATTTTTCATGCACTTATAAAGGAAATAAAATCATTACTTGTTCATATCAACATTAATGTTGAGTCTCATATTTTACTTATATTCTTCTTTTACATCACCTTCTTTGACTTGGGATTCTAACACATGAGGTATTATGATTTTTAATTTTATTTTGTTATCATCTTATAGTTAAATTATCTTGACGCCTTTGCAATATATGGTTTAATCATTGAATTAATTGGTCATTTCATTTTCTGTCAACCACATGTAGGTGCAGTGTGTATGTATATATGTATACCCGACCCAACATATAATTAAATGATTAATGCAAACCCGTCCCTCGGGGCACATCCCAACTGGTAAAGGGCGGAGTTCTTCAAGGCGGACAATTTAGAGGTCGCGGGTTCGATTCATGAGGCTCTTGGAAGGCAGGAGTTCTTCTGGAAGGCAAGGCGCATACATGAGTTTGACTCGCTCGACACTTTGACAGTTCAGTTGGGAGGACTCTTGGACCCTGACCAGTTTGGGACACAACCCGCGATATAAAATGGTCGGCGTGAAGAGGGGCTGGATCTTAGGTCCCAGGATTAGTCGTTGTAAGGCGGATACCTATTAAAAAAAAAAAAGGATTAATGCAAACCCATTAAATTAAAGTAAGTGTATAACTAGTTTTCGAGTAATTAGTAATTTATTCCCCCAAATGAATGATTAAATGAGTGAAAAGGTTATTCATATAAGGATATAAACAAAATGGTTTTTTTTTTTTTTTTTTTTTTGTAATCAAAACATTATCTTAAATCATGAGTTGCATTTGTCGATAATTTTATTATTTATTTGCCCAATTTCTGTTTTCTCTTGGTTTGAGTTATGGAATTTAGAAGTTAGTTATCTATCACTTGAGAAAAAGAAAACAAAAAGGGGCACTTTATTTCTTCATTAAAAGTATACCTTCAACTGTTAACTTTTATTGGATTGAATCCTTATGAGTTCATATTATTGCATTATTTATGTTCTCTTTTCCCTTTAGATTGTCATTCCTTCAACAGCATAGTTAAAAAGGTAAGTATTTTATAATAATAATAATAATAATAATAGTAGTAGTAGTAGTAGTAGTAGTAGTAGATAGATAGATAGATAGATAGATAGCTCCATTATGGGCCAAAATTGATTTTGACAATGAGTTCCACTTCTAAATTTCTATATGATTATGAACCCGTTCTATTTTACATGTTCGGTCCTAATTACAATAACTATTTTATCTTATTCGATTGATTGTCAGTAGTTAATGTTGTTGAAATTTTTATATGAATGATAATGACATACAATAATCGGCAAGTAGATTTTGTGGGTAGCTAAGAATATCACCACTACCCATTCTAAATTGAAATTGCTAAGGATTCCAAATAAACATTCCATTATCTTCATGCATACGTTGCATTGTTAAATGTATAGATGCTATTTAAATTATTATTATGTGACCATGATACTTGATTATTATATTCAGTGTCGTTAATGTTTCTCATGATATATTTATGTTTGACAATAAATCCATAAGAATGCATGGAATTTCAGGAAATAAAATTTTTTTGAATATCATTGTGAGAAGGAATATTTTAAAATATATGTATTTTAAATATTTTCAAGATGCGTATGTCTATAGCATGAAATGTGCGGGTGGAAAAAGGGATGTGGAGCCACCCAACCAATTTTGAATGTTGAACGTTTAATGTTAATTGTTTTGTGGCGCTACTGATATATTGAATCAGGTTCCAAATAATAATTGCTCCATGCATTATGATTGACTATTCATTTTGAGAAAAGCTATATATTTTAAGGTATATGTATATCATAAGCATACATAATAAGCATGCGGTTTGCTTATAGGACATTAGTTCATTTTACGTTATTCTTCCATATTTTTCAAATGATGAAAGCAAGATTATTCGATGTGATGATGTAAGGTCCCAAATTTTATATTCTTAAGTTGGTTAATGTAACACATTTAATAAACGAGCTATGGAAGGTCGGTTCATTTAAGGTTGTGAAAACCAAACAATTTAAGATATTAAATTTAAGTAAATTTGATTATAAAGATTTAATAATAATTACGTTGCCACAATTGTTATTTGCATGGTATTTCACATACGCAACACAGATTTGAATCACCAAATAAAATATTTTTATAAAAATATTTTTGAGTAAAAAATTTCTCATTTTGTACATTAAGAACAATTATATCAAGTTAATTAGATGGAATAATTATTTTATTAGTGAGCATTAATAGAGATAGGTTGTGAATAATTCATTTTCCTCCATTTTTTCATTATTATGTAAATGTTCTATAAAATTTTTTATAATAATTTTTTATGGGCTTAAATCTCTTTAAATTCCTAGTTAATGACTCAATTTAACATATTAATGAAAATATAACTCTCTCATTTAGTTTTTCACTAAAAAGGAGAGTTTACAAGAAGAGGATTGTTACTTTTGTAAGTATTATGCTCTAGGTCCAATCAACTTTGGATATAAATACTTTTGATATATAATTAATGAAATTTAATGCCAGATCTATTATTTAATTAATGCACAATTAAATAAATATTAGAGTCCGTAGATTCAAATCTTCGTAATTTGTTAATCACAAGAAGTTGTGATTGTGAGATACAAATTACATCTGATTGAATCTTAAATCGTCCGTGGTCGTAAGTAATAACGGGATACGGATATCGTTATTACGGATAGACCATCATGTGTGACATTTCTTACTTATTAAGTGAGTAGTTGATCTCACAAGTTAAAGTGTGGTGACACTTAAATGAACACGTGGATGTTTTGTTATAGAACAAAATATTTGGAGACCCGTCGAGAGATTCCACATGGATAACTATCTAAGTGTTAGTGGTTAATCTCTAACGTTCGGTAGTGGGATTGGTCCTTTTGACTTGATGTCGTCATAGTACCTTATATGAGGACGATCATGCTTTGACGGTGTTGGATGTTGCTCTACCAAGGGCCGCTAATACGACATCGTTTGAGTATGTCAATAATCATACGAAGGTTGTGAATGACCAATAGAGGAATCTTCACTCTTAGATAGTAAGAGATTATGATCTGCGTTTCATTCAATTAAGTCGATAACAAAATCCTTGGTCAAGGTGGATCATAAGTCGAAAAGGAGTTTTCGACTTATATTGACTTAATAGTGGAATGAAAGATATGATCGATATTCGGGATTGACACAATTCCATATCTCGTAATTGATCGGATCATATTCACGAAGGGATTATAGTTTCATGGTAAACAAACGAGTTTGATTTTGTCATACCACATGACATTTTTCGTCACATGTATTGCCCTGACACAATACTAGATGTCAATCTGGAACAACGAATGTGAATTGGTGATAAATTAAAAGGGCGTTTTAATTTATCAATTTTGATCAGATCAAAATAATATTTCACGTCGTTAGGTATCATGATCGGGAATCTGATGGGTCACACACAAAAGAGAATTAGAAGATTGCAATTTGTCAATTAATTAATTTAACAATCGTTGGATAAATTAATTAATTGGGTTGGTTATTTATAGACTTGAATTAATTAATCGGATTAATTGATTCACGAATCGAATTTAATTAAATGGATTAATTAAATATTGGACCAAACCGGACCAGACTCGTTTGGACTTATATAAATACATGGCTAGGGTTTTTAATTCATATGGTTTTTTTCATAATTATTCTTGCTAGCACAAGAGGAGAAAACTTTGGTAACTGCAATCTTGTTCTCTGTGTGGATCACCGTTGGAGGCTGGACAATTGGACAACTGTAGGTGGCGAATCAAGATTGCTGGAATGAAAAAAAAAAGTAAAAGGTTTGCAGAATTCTTCAAAGGTACAATCTTTATCACGATTTCTATCTAAACACAAAGGGATCCTCGGTGAGAATCGAAATAATTTTAATTTTCCGTTGTGCATGTATAAGTAGATTTTCAATAGTGGTATCAGAGCCTATTTTGTGTTTGTTAGAAATTGCTTTGCATGTTGGAACAATTTAAAATTAATTGTTTTTTTTCTTGTTTTAGCAATTAAGAAAATAATTTTTCATATTCAAAATTTGATTTTGAATAGAAAATAATTTCTTGGATTGGAATAATATATGAAATCTGTTTCTAAATAATAAAAACAAAAGAGGGGGCGGCAGCGGGTCGCCGGCATGCCACTGCGCTCACCGCTGCCGCAAAGTGCAGCGGCGGTGAACGCTGGTGATTGCACCGGCAGCTGTTGCAGGAACGGCAGCAGCTGCAACTGCAGTAGCGCGAAGGTTGCGCTGCTGCAGCGACAACTTCGCGCTACTGCAGCGACAATAAATGCTGCTCTTGCAGCAGCTGCCGCGGCTTGAGAGGAGCGCCTCGCTCGCTGCTAATGCAGCGGTGGCGGCTGGCGGGAAGGGCCGCCCCACTGAAAATGAATCATAGGTGGCGATTTTCAATTTAGGATTTTTGCAAATTCGGGTGACTGATTTGGGACGAGGGCTCGTGATGCAAATTTTGAATTTGCAGGCCCGTGATTGTAATTATCTAGAAAGGGGGTCAAATTCAATTTTTTTTTTCAAAAGGAGGACTTATTTTGTAATTTGTGAGTTATGGAGGTCCTGATTATAATTTCTTTTGGGTCAAAATGCAATATGTTTTGGAAAGGGATTTAAATGCAATTTTGAAAAGTTTTGAAATTGATTTAAGTAGGTTTGACCGGTATTTTCAATTTTGACCCAGATTTAAAATTTTATTTAAAATCAATGACTTATATATTTTGGTTAAAATTAGATTTTAACTTATACATTAAACTTGACCCTAAATTGAATTTTATTTTATTTAGGAATGTTAGCCTAAATTAAAATATTAATTCAATTTATTTAGTGTTAGACTCTAATTTAGCATTTAATTAAAATTTGATTTTAATTAATTATTCACCCCAAATTTATTCTGGAAATTAGAATTGGATTCTAATTTAACATTTAATTAAAA